ATAGTAAATGTATTGGCCTGGTTTAATGTAGTTAGATGTATGAATGTAAAGATAACACCAGGCTGTGATGAAATGATCTAAGATAGTGGATTCAGTGGATGACATCAGTGACTGTTGAACGTCTGTAACATGAAGACATCTCATTATAAATTGGGATGTTTTACGTCACAAACACATGAGTGACCTCTATCCAGTGACGACTTGCAGCATTCATGATTTTCAGTGTTTTAAAATACTCTCTCTGTCTCTTTCCTGGTGTTTCTCCACCTACCTCCCTTTCTTCCTGACTCTGTTCTGTGAATCACCATCACAACACCCTGAAACCACTCACCCTCCATCTGTCATCATGGTGTCTCCCTTCAGATCCCACCTCCTCCCCTGTCGCCCTCCTTCTTACGATAACCTACAGATTTGTAATTCTGGATTTGCACACATCCCGCGCGCCTGCATCCTACTTTCATGTTGGATGCAGTAGAAACAGCAACAGGGCACCTGAGGTCACAGAGGAAACGCTGTCAGCCTACTCAGAGTACATGTGTGGTGCCTGGTGCGGAGAAGTGAGGGGGCACCACACACCACCGGAGAGCACCGGCCTCCTTCTACACCCCTGAAGCATCTAAACACAGAGCCTGGGCCCTTTATCTGCCACTGGGTTGTTCACGAGGAGTGTTATTCTTCAAGTCTTCACATCATTTCAAAGATTCTGCTTCATACGTCTCCTATTTGTGATTTATTTCAGTCCAGCATGTGGCTGAAGGAAGATGAGCCCACGGGAAATGTGCTGTAGAGAACATCCTGTGGACAGAGCTGACCCGTATGTGCTGTTGTAATGAGGGTGTTCTGAGCAAAAGGTTACGGGAACCTAATCTGACACCCAGGCCTGATTAGAAGCTATTAATACACACACACACACACAGATGCACGTCCCCTGAGGAGTCTGTCCTCCTGGTCATCTCCTCCCTGGACTGTGCGACCGTCTGAAACCCCCCATCTCCTCCCTTCCTCTGACACGGCCCGTCTTTACCTCTGCTGAGGAGATTCTGTTTTCACCCGTGTGTGTTTGTTTTACACATTACACAAAAACGACTAAACACATTCAAGGTCAAGGAAGAACTCTTTA